GTGACTTGGCTGTGGTGGCCATCTTGAAAGTGGTTGTAATTCTAGTATTTATTTTCAGAGAGTTGGGGCATTTCATGAAAAATCCACTTTTAGCTGTTCAATACATTTTGTTGTGGACTTGGAGGCTCTGTGAGCGCAGAAAAGTTGAATTTAGTCTCTCCTGGTGCTGGAAAGATATCTCTATATTCTGTTGAGTCTTGTTTTTCAGCCCGTTCAGTTTTCTCTATTTTCTATTGCATTTTCTTAACAATTACATCAAATAATCTTTAATGAAATTACCATATAAGGTCTGGAAATACAATTTCCTCGACTTAATTCTCCTCTTGACCCTGGCTCCAGCATGTAAGGCTGGATGGACAAGTCTTCTGTTGTTGACATCTTTCAGTTTAATGGTAAATAAAATGTTTTTGTAATGCTAGAAAACGTAACCCCCTCTCTCAAACCGGAGCGGACCGGTCTGGAAGCAGGAGGGGGGCGGGGTTTGAAGCATCTTAAAGGAACAGCAACAAAACCAGCTGCTTTGAGGCACACACACCAGAAAATTAGTGGAAGAGGGGCTGGTGAAGTTAAAATAAGGAGGAATTCAAACTAAAGCATTTGAGTTCCACTTTAATATGACCCCAAATGATGGATTTAAATGTGAAAAGGAAGGATTTAAAAGCATGATGTGTCTATTTTAAAACTTCTCAAGTGGTTCATGAGATATTTTGCACATGCACCAACAAGAATGTTCAAAAACATAATTACCCTCAGTGTCAGGCAAACATAATCAACTTGGATGTTTATTTAAATCCCATTTCCCACTAAATCTAATTCCTTAAGTTTGTGTTGTATTATTATGTGATGGCTCGAGCAGTGTCGACAACATATTTTAATTAATGGGATAGTTGGATATTTAAAGTAAATTTCATGACATTTTCTTTATATAATTCATTCTGTTTAAGCCCAAAAATATATTTGACTGGAAAGAAACAYGGCAGCAGTCACTGACAGACTAATGTGTGCTGGTATTTCCTGATAGATTCAATAAAGTTCATTAACGTCACTGAAGAATCCCATACTTTAATGTATATAACTATCTTGTCAAATAAAATAATTTTAAAGCTTGTTAGATTATACATGCATTAAATAACACAAAATGGGTAATACTAAAKTTAATGAGGTTTGAAAAAATATTTAAGTGAATTCAAATTTGATTACCATAATTAGATTTGATTTAGGTCCTGTTAAAATGCCCCTGAATCCAAAGCTTACAACATTTAGATTGTGACTTTTTCTTGAATAAAACATATGGTTCTGTAAATAAGGTTTCCTTTAAAGGCCTTTAAAAGTTTTATTCATACAGAATTGAATCAGCTATCTAGGGTACACAAAATAAACAAACATTTTAAGAACAGGAAATGCATTTTATGGTTTGTAAATTTCAGTTCTTGACATGTTTTCCATAGCTGCATATCATGAGAAAGAAACTGAACGCACGTGAGCTGGCACGACCGGAGCTTGGCAGAAATCTAAATTATAACAAGGCAGAAGCAGACGAAGCAGTGAGGGAACTCGCCTTTGAAGTTCGGCCTTATCCTGGGATCGTAGCTGATCAGTAACCTGTTCAAGATGTTACTGGTTGAATTCGCAGGGACTCGAGCCAGATCCTCGGATGACAGCTGTCTGCAAACAAAGAAGATGGAGAGGGAACTTTAGCAGGTCAAATTCCTGGCAGATGAACAACGTGGACGAATGGTGCACAGACGACTAGCTCCTCTGTGTACTTTTTGATTAAACTATAAGCTGAGTGAGCTACCACTTTGGGATTAAACTGGCTTTTAAGACTTGGACCACCCACAAAATGCTTTTTTAAGTAAAGCATTGTTTAGAAATAAGATGTGCTGTTATTCTAAAAGGTTTCCAGATAATGACTAAGAGTGAGGAACAGATTGATAGATGTTTTGAGTATTGTTGTCTCCATGGCAAAAAAAAAAAAAAACAACAAAAAACTCTCCATTATCAAAAGCCTGACAATAACCTTGAAACTCATTTTGAATTATACATTTCCTCTAAAGATTGTATGTTCCTTGGTCAGATCATTGGTTTATCCAATAATGAATCCATTTGGATATACCCACAACCAGTCTCACAGGAAAAAACAAACATTTTAATGAACATGCTTTGAACTTTGAGACAAACATCAAGCCAGAACTTGAACAGAATTCAGGCACCACAAGGAAAAGGATCAGAGTGAGTAATTCTGCAAATGAAGAACCGAGAATCCCTTCAACAGATGCACATTGTTTTTAATGACAGAGTTTTAAACTAATCACCGTGTTATGMTGAGCAATGACAGATTTACAGCTGGTCAAACCTTGAAAATGAAGCTACACATGAAATCAGGCAATACAGTGAGATGCAGGGCCGGCCATAGCAAATTTGGTGCCCTAGGCAGGATTTCAGGCACCCCTTWTGTAGTTTTCTAAAATCAGTTTAATTTGTGCAGTTGCAGTAAACTGTGCTTTTTATCAGCTTCAGATTTGCAATTAGTGCTCATTTGGTCATTAGAGAATGCTGCTTGGTGTACACCGTGACTCCAGTTTCTGTTGTACTTACGATGGACAGTAAACCTGCTTTCCTTTCTTCTTTCCTTTCTTGGCTCCCTTTTCTTTAGCAGATCCGCCCGAAAGACAAAGAAAAAGAACGAGGAGAAAGATGGCGAACTTCTTCCTGTCCATTCTGAGAGAGGTGCCTGCGAAGCAAAAAAAAAAAAAAAGTCAAACTGATAACATGCAGCAAATAAAACAACAAATTTAAAGTCACTTAAAATTTGATGTTTTCAGTTAGACTGCTGGTTTTATAGTTTCATAAAAAATCAGCATTCACCGGCTTTATTTTCACTGCAACATTTGAACATCTAAAACGGAAATGTTGCCTCTCTTTTCTCTTTAAAAAATGACTTACCTACTCACACTTATGCACATCTTAGCAGTTTGTGTAACTGAGACGTCGTCATCATCCTGAGACGACTGCTAGCCCTCCAATGCAGCCAAAGCTTCCCTAAACGGACATCAAACTTGCAGTTATGGCTGGTGCTTGACCACAGGTAGCACCCTTACTGGATTCATTAACATATTTTGAATTTAGATTTTAAATAATGTCTTCAGCAGCTTTAGCAGCTGCTAGCAGTGGCTAACAGCTGCCATTGTTGATGTTGATGATGTCACCATCCTGGTTATCTGACTCTGCTAACATTTCTTACTGCTAAAGATAAATATTTTAAACCTAAATTCAAAATGAGTTCATAAAAACTACTATGGGCGGTCCCTGTGGTCCAGCAGTTTGAAGTGCAGCCCAGACACCAGCCATAACTGCAAGTTTGACGTCTTGTAAGGAAGCTTTAACTGCATTGAAGGGCCAGCGGTTGCTACTGTCTCAGGATGATGATGTCACAACATGAGCCGAGCACCAGCAGCAAAGGCTGCGTTCCATTCCAAAATACCTAAATGTAAACTTCAACATTTAAGGTTTAACTTAGATTTAAGT